AGTTTTAAACTATATTTCACATTCCACCTCTTTATTGATTACTTTTATTTAACACTGCTAAAAGTAGTATGTGTAGTATGTTAGTGTGGGCAAGAAGAATGTTTTATCTACCTCTCTTGAAACACTTAGCTGTGACATGTTATCATTGGGGCATTAGGGGGAGATCCAGACAGGAACAGTATTGCTGGTAACTTTCAGAGACTAATCATATTGCTCCCACAAAACACTTCATCTCTACAAGCCCCTAGAGCTTTTATCCTGAATCTGTTTCTGAACATAGTCACCGTTTTGGCATTCTGGTGTGCTGCCTCTTCTCTAGCAGCCTTGTTGAAAGATTAATTGCAGTTGAAGAAATGTATCTTAACTGTCTCATTACATAAAGATTTCATAGAATTCCACATAAAGTAACAATATACTGTTTTTAATTATGCAGTATGCTGTACATTGCGTAAGTAGTTATTTTTAGACAAGAGAAAAAGCTTTTGTGTTAAATGCCAATAGAGCAGTTGGGAAGAGAACTTTGCTTTTAAAGGAGGGGCAGATTCTGGTGTCTGCTATACCAAGGTAAAACTAGAGCGCTGCCATGAAATTCAGCAGAATTAGTGCAAAGTATTAGGGTAGCTGAGAACAGAATGAGTTGTCATTATGAATAAAACAACAAGAATGATTGTATGTTAACAGAGCTTTTGGCAAAACTGAGAAAATACATGATCTAGTAAAGTTTATTCCATCTGACTTTAATGCTCATGTTTATAGAATGAATCTATGTGGTATTCACATAATAATGATGCTCTGAAATTTTGAACCTTGGCAAAGTTTGTTTTGAAGTACTAACTGTAAGCAAGTTGCATCTTACTGTAAAAATTATTTTTAATTTAATAGAGTTCTGGTAACTATTTAGTAGAATAGATTTTTTTCACTTCCGGTTTGTTGGCCTAGTTTTTCCTTGGTAAGTTTGGCAAAAGTTGGTCATTTCCATTGGCGACACATAGGGAATGCATGCAAGTGCATGTGCACTCGCTGGAAATGCCAGCCATGAAACTGGAAGTGCACTTCTGGTTTCACTGCTAGCTTGGCAATCCATCACTGGGGGGCACCCCCCTCCCGCGGTTGGCTATCGGCCACTGGGGGGGACCCCATCCTCCCCCATCAGTAATCTGGTGCCCCCCCAGACTCAGGAGGCATGAGTCACCCGTTCATTTCTATTCTATCCCACTGAGTGTATTTTAATATAGTGAAACTTTGCATCTAATTTTATTTTTGTTATTTTTTTAAAAAGCATATTTCATTTTACTGTCAGTGTGCATTTTTGTTTTGGAGAGTTCACAAATATTTAGGAAGAAACAAAACAAACTTTACAAATAAGCTCTTCATCATCAGAGCAGTCAGGGTTATGATTATTGAGAAAGTGTTGCTAAAATTAGTTTGAACAGTATATTACCTTCCAAGCTAACCAACTGAGAGAACCAAATAAATAAATAAACAAACCTTGCCAGTTGTTCAGTACATGGGATGAAAGTGAAGTCTTCCATTTCTCTATAGTGACCCATCAACTGAAGTAGAACCTAGGTATCTGTATCTTATCATGCAACTACAAATGCAGCTGCTAGTCATAAAATAAGTTGACCCATTCATAATTCCAGCCATAATATTTGACTCAGTGGCCTCTTGCACTGGTGAATTCTATTATGTACCACATTCATTTACTTTTATTTGTTCTTAATTTATTAACCAATACTTTCAGTTTGTATAAGCCATTTATTTGCTTTTGTTTTATGAATCTAAGAAAGGAGAATTTGTTCTTGTATACCCTTCAAATTCTTGCATTTTAATCAATTCCCCCCTGGGTGCAACCTGTTCCATTCTAAATAATTCCAGTTTTGCATTGTGGTAAATGTTACCACATGACTAAGAATGTATTCAAATCTTCTGACTTACGTATTTTCATGCCTTTACTCCAAATTATACAAATATAGTCCAAGCTTCATGGGTTTTGTCCCTTCAAATTCTATGGCAATATGCAAAAACAGAGTTCTTGAAATATAATATTTAATTTCACTCAAATCTTGAATGCTCACAGCTCTCAAGTACTGTTCAGTGTTCTTTCTTAAATAAGTGGGAAAGAAGTTGAGAGACAGAAAAACGTTATAAAATTAATTCAGGTAATTCATTCTGGAATTCACGATACCAGATATCTCAGATAGCTGAGGTAAACTACAAATGTGCATATGAACTCACTGGCAAAACTTTTTCCTTATGTGGCTTGTTTATGTAAAGTCTAATATATAATGTGTTTGAATTCCATTAAAAGCCTTTGTTGCTAATCTTAATGGAACACAGAGAGATGCCTCGAACTCAGATCAGTGTGGTTAGATTGCTGTAGGTTGAGGTTAGATTGTTATAAAACTTATTATACGGATGGGATCTATTTGGTCCCCTTTGTTATTTTGGAAAGAATACTTTCTGCATATATGACCTATAAAACATTCTTATTGACAGGATATGCTAGTGCTGAAAGATACATGACCAATGGCATTTTATAATTTATTGATTGAGTTTTATGTAAAATCATGAACACTTGGACAAACATTGGCCATCATGGTTAGTTAGTATCATTTTCCTTACTACTGTATTTCTGCAAAAAAGTGTGTTCATTTTATAACCCTATTAGAGACCCTTTAATCCATTTTATAATTATTTTTATATCAATTTACATAATGGATACATAACTTTGTAAATACAGAAAAAATGTTATGTTTATTTTAAGGGATTGTTTTTGACTGAACATTAGAGATCAAAAAATTCTGTCTGTCCTTTTAGTCTAAGAAGAGATTTGACAGTGCAAACATTTCATTATTACTTAAGTACATTATTAGTTATATGTTGTTTGCATTACTGCAACACTTAGAGATCCCATTAGAGATTACAATTCCCATTGTCATAGTTTATAATCTGCAACAGTCATTAACTTCAGGGGTGTACAATCAGTCTTTTAAAATTAAAGAGCCAATGCTGGGAAGAAGGTAGTGGTATTTATCCTGAGGCTTCTGGCAGACATTACACTTAAGACGTGATTAACCAGTTCATCACATCTTAAGTAGTAACCTGGCCACATGTTAACACAATTAACAGCATAGTAAAAGAAAGAATAAGCCACAAAGTTATTACAAAAAATGTGTGTCATAACTTTGTGGCTGATTCCCTTAACACCTTAAATTGAACATGTGGCCAGGCTTATCTTCACTCCAGCCTTTGGGACACATTAGAAGGTGGGAATGGGAGCTGATTGGGACTCCCAGCCTAAAGCATGACTCAGAGTTGAGGGGGTCCAATGTGCTTCTAAGCCTGGAAGTCCTAATCAGCTGCCAGATCCAGCCTCAGATGTACATCAGAGCCAAAGACTCTGGTACACCCCTGAGACTGGGAGTGGCAGTCAGGTGATCAGCACCTTGGTGGCTTATTGAAACCCTGGACACCAATGTGCTCCCAAGGCTGGGAGCATGGATCAGCTGACTGGCTTGCTGCTTGTCACCTGTGTCTGCAATTTGGTGCAATTGGGATCTGCTCCCTGGTTCCAGAAACACGCCTTTTGGAGGGGAAGGAGACAGAGGGAGAAAATTGAGCTATGGGATATTGATGGACTTGTTGGATATCTGCCAACTTGTTAAAAACCTTCCTGCAACAAAGATGATGCTCTTTTAAACATCATCTTTTTTGTTGCAGATCCACAGTTTTGAAGCCATATTGGCCATTTAGTGAGACAAAAATCCTGAACATACGGCTGCAGGTAGCTGTCCCACTTTATCTGATGTTTTACTGGGACAAAAATAATATCTGGCAAAAAATTTCTGAGGGAGTTGGAAATCTCAATAATATTGGTCTTCGTCTACATTTAAAAGTCTACTTGCTTAGATATACTACTGGCCTCCTTAGAAATTGTTCTAGTGGCAAAAGTTTGTAAGTTTGTAAATTTTGTTATCCTTCTAAGAAGCCAAAGTAAAGACAGGCTTTTTTAATTCCCATTCTAGAACAAAAAAATTCACTTATTAGTAGTTAATTTTAATTTTAAAGTGCCCTGAGTAAAGTTCAACAGAGGCAACAGGCTATTGGACTTTTACAGAGACTGTATTTAAAAGTGAAAATAAGAAAAAATAAGTATTTTCTTATAATGGCCTTTAAAAATCCCATTTGTTCAGCAAAATGATTTTTTTCTACATTATAATTTTAAACAACTGAGATTAAGAGGTTTTATTTATTTAGTATTAATAAACAATTAGAAAATATATCTTTGTGTTTGAAAATAGTGCAGTACACTGCGTTTACATTCTCCAGCCAACTTTTACAGTTGAGCTACTGGACTGGTGTTAACCAAATAAATTACTAATTTGAAAACTGTCAAAGGGGAATCTTAAAGTTCTTATCTCCTACTGAAATTGTTCAGACCAAGGACTTTAAATATATTTAACCCCAACTAAGATTCCATGTACCTCCTTTAATCTTTTAAAAACTCAGTAGTTTATATAGGAATGTTTCCTAAACATAGTTCAGTAGTTTTCAACCTTTTTTTTATTTGCGGATCCCTACACATTTTTCAGTGGAGGTGTGGACCCTCTTGGAAACTTCAAATGGAAGTGTGGACCCCTTTGAATTGTAAGTGTAGGTATTCACATACTTTTGATTCATCACAGTTATCTTGGACATAGGGGGTCCTCAGACCACAGGTTGAAAACCACTGGCATGGAGGCTCATCTTGCTCACTGAGGTTGTACAAGTATAACGGAGGCTCAGTTCTGGCTCCCTGTTTGTAACGTACCTTTGTTTCTGAAATTATCAGAGTAAGTTCATATAGGAATAGGTGAATAACTAGAAAATATGGTATATGGCAGTGTACTGCAGCTGGTTATTTAGACAATCCTTTGCTTTTATAAAAGTGTTTTTCACTTTTTGAGAGCTGGCTAGTGATATGTTTACTCCTAACTATTTTTTTTTTTATTCCATAGCATCCAAGACTCTTATAAACAGTATGCTACGGGACCCTTCTCAGATTCCAGATGGAGTTCTAGCAAATCAGGTCTATCAGGTATTAATCACAGCCATCTTTTTTTCAGTGGCAATGCTGTTATCTGCCTAGCAGAGTAAAGGATTTTAAACCTCATTTAATTACTGTCATCATAAACTATCACTGAGGTCAGGGTGCACCATAAATGGCAATGCAATATTTGTGAGGAGAGCATTTCACTTTTTAATAGCTTGCTTTTATAGTGAATAAAAAGCATGCAATTTTTGTTTTCTGTGATTAAATCTGAACAGCCTTCGATAGCCTTTTTGAGGAAAAGTAATTACTGTTTTTAAGATACTGTTTAACTATAATAGTTTTGTAGTTGCCTATCAGTATACTACTTCTCTTATTTGTCTGCAGTGTACTGTGAATGACTGTTGTTATGGACCACTGGTGGACTGCATCAAACAGTATCCTTTCCCATAAAATTTTAGGTGCACAATTGACGAGCTTAGACTCTGTGGAGGAGATGTGTCTAGCTTTAACCTGACATAAAGTTCTGCTTCACAAAACACATTTCATACTCCTTTATTTTATATTCAATCAACTAGAGGGTCACTTCAGACCTTTCTCTTATACTGTTTTAACTAAAATCAGATAGGCCAAGGAAAGTTGTCAGTTTAGTAGCTGTACATCCATATGCCTAGTTGAAACCTCTTTGTATTTATTAGATGAAATGCACATCTTTCCTTAAATAAAGCCATTGAGTTTTATTGACACTGTAATATTACAATATTGTTAACTAATTTGACATTTTATTTGGATTTTTCAAAGTTCAGTTTAAGTACTGATCGATTAAAGTTTTAAAAGCTGTATCTGCCATACCTGTGCAGCTCTGTCTCCTCTTCTTAAAGGAAGCTGGGAAATAAGGATAAAGGGGAACTATTTTTAATGAGACATTAGAGAGCATTCCAGAGTGAACAGAGTAGGGATGTAGTATCATTTTTGTTAAAAAAAATATTTGTTTAACCTCCTCTAATTATATTGGTTAAAGGATTAACCAATAACCCAGCGGCTTGGACACGGCTGCTGCTGGGAGCTGCTTCTGGCTCCCGGGGCCCTTTGACAGAGGGTTTGTCGGGGAGGAGGCAAGCCCAGCCAGATAACATGGACCCATGTAAAGCCCTGTGCTGGGAGGGAGGGAGCACCTGTGAATGATCAGCTAATTGCTTAACTGATGAGTCGGGCTGCTCACTGTTTTCTTCTTAGGCTATGTGTACTAGTCCCCCTCTCCCCTCCCCAGTCCTCCTCCCCTCATCTTTGCTCCTCCGTTCCTTCTTCCTGGCCCCCATGCAGCTTCCTTTCTCCCCTTCCCTGCCAGACTGCACCCACCCCCAGCTAAACCATAACCAGTAAGCTAACCAGTTAACACTGCACTTATCGGTTAAATGATTAATTGTTTAACCTTTCACATCCCTAGAACAGAGTTCAAAGGAACCTCAGCACCTTAGTATCAGTAGCAGAAAGGGGACCCATAAAATACTGAGTACTGGGCTTGTGTTTGGATAGTAGCCACACTAATATTGGTCACATGAACCTGGAAGGACCAACCACAAAATTGGAGCCTGGCACCAGGTCTGCAGGTTTAAGAATAGGTTATCTTCCTCTTAGCCACACAGTTTTCAGCGGAAATTCTGCCAAATTTAGGAAAGGCTGTGAATTTTACCATGTGAGAGTAGGTCAGGGGGTTGGCAACAGTTCCTGCAAGTTTTGCATGGGAAACCACTGACTACTGTTACTTCCTGCAGGAGACAGGTCTCTTCCAGCACATTTTACAGTCATGGTGTATGTAGCTGTTAGGAAAAGAGGCAGTTTTTATTGCATCATATTCAGGTTTACTATGTGTATTATTTAGTAAGGATTCAGTCCTGTTCTCTCTAACTTTAATTGGAGCAGGACAAGATTTCAAATATATGTTTTAATTATGTGATTTGCAGATTCACTGTGACTATTACAAGAAATACAATGACACACAAGTTTATTAATTTGATATGGTCATAGCTGTTTTATCCAAAGCTGTAATAGCCAAAATGTGGTGGTATATGAGTTTTGTGTTCTTGTAACAAATCTGGATGTACTCTTCTGGTGTTTATATGCGAATAAATGCATTATTTTAAGTATCTTTACCTATAGTAAATTGCTAAAAAAAAGTACATTTTTTTACAACCTAGAAAGTTCCATCCCTTTTTTCAAATAAGCCTACATAACAAAATATGGTGTTATTAGGACTAATGAAAAATTAGTCAACCCTGGTTGTTACAGGAAAGTACAGTGATATTTAGCTGTGTGAATGCATTATCTGTGAGTACATGTTGCTGAATTAGATGTTAATTTTAAAGCACATAAAATAGTTAAAAATCAATTTAAAGTTAAGGTTTTAAAAGCATAATGTCTTCTGAAGGATTGCATATTGATTTTAAATATAACTATCTAATTATATATGCATGGACTAAAGTATGAAGTCAACCTCTTTGTAAATGCCAGGAGGCTATTTTTCAGTAATAGTTCAGATGCTTACGGGAAACTAGGCTGCTGGATTGCACGAGTTGGAAAATGGCTTGTGAGGTTATTTACAAGTTTTGCCCCATGGTCACTGCCATACATCAATAATAGGTATTATTATAAACTAAGTCTAAGTGTTTCTGCTTATGGTGCATTATAAATTCTGTTTGCAGTATTTGTCCTATATTTTTGCCATCATTCATTTTCCTTTTTTGGCTCTGTCATTGCCAGTATGGTTTAAGGTAGTACATGATTTCAATTGATAGAGAAAATGATGTATATATGTATAAAGTGATTATTTATGATTACTTTTCTTGCAATTTAACAGTAAAAGCTGGTAAAAAAATAGTGTAACTGATTATAATGGTAAGGCTTTCTGAAAGTTATGTCAGTATAAGATATCCTAAACAGAATTTGGAATTGTTTTAAAATTTCAGTTACAGATTCTCCTTTTATAGAAGCTTCCAGTCAAGAAGAATGTGGAAGTACTAGCAGTGCACCTCTGGGCAGAGAAATTGGGGTTATCCAGTTTTATGCATTGCATATATTAGTAATAATGACAAATTTTGATCACACATTGTCAGTGGAGTGGCAAGATTGCGGATACTACACTAAAATACTTAATTTTGTCCTATCCAGTATACTGTTGTTTATGTAACCAAATCAATTAAAAGGCCCTTTTGTTATAGTGAGATGCATCAGTTGGCTTCAGTACGTATCTTAAAAGAATGAACTATTTTAGGGAGTAAAGAACAAAATCCAAGTTCTTTGTACTTGGAGAAAAAAATCATTGAATTCAGTGGGAACTTTGCCTAAATATGGTGCCCAGAACCAGCCTGTAATTCAATAAATCCATTTCTAGCTTAATAGGAATGTATTTTTCTCGGACAGTTTTTCATTCTTTTCTTTAAAAATGTAGTAAGGAATTACAGCTTCTGAGGATACTGAGAAAACTTGTTCATTATATCTGCATTTTCTCATTTCCAAGTCTGTTTTATATTTGTTCTGTTTCAGAGACCAGCATCATTTTTAAGAAATAACTAATGGCCTTGACTTTGGGGTACCCAACTTCACATATCATAAAGTGGACTGATTATGGAAAATACTAACCCATTCCCCTTTCAAAATCAGACCCCTTTGAGAGGTCTCAACCTGTGCACCTAAATCATTGATCATTCAACAGATATATAGGCTAGTATGTTTTAGTGTGAATTATTCTAACTGTAATACTGTTCTGAACTTCGCTATATTTCAAACACCTTTCCTTTCTTAACTGAAAACCATCAGTGCTATTGGACATGAACATGAAGTCTTGCTACGAGAAATGCTTCTGAAGAAAAATCTCTCTTTCCTAGGTAAGACTCTATTGTAGAATCTAACCTATGATACCTTAGCTTCAAAGATCTCAGTGACTGTTTACTTAAGAAAAAAGAAGCTTCTGCCCACATTGTATTATGTAGTAAAGGAAGAGTAAAAAATGATTGATGCTGTACATGTTATCTTTTATTGATTTAGAACTGAGGAGGAACTCAGTTACCTAATACCCTATATATACAGCACATGCACAGATTTGCAATTAATATTTTATAGAATAAGTAGCTGAAAAAAAATGCTTTAATATCTGCTGCAGTATTACTTTTGGTGTCATGAGATATTAGCCATAATCTTGCCCTTATGAGATTTAGAAGAAAGCATAAGAAATATTAGCTTCAAAATGCTTTATGTTTTAAAAAAACTGCTAGAAGAGTTCACATGTTTAGCTACATATGCAGTTTTTCGTGATATTTTTTAGCTAATGCACTGAATCTTGCCCCATTCTCTATTTTTAAAGTTATTTTAAGGATTTATTCTAGAAGATGTTACCATGATACTAGTTTTTTTCTCTCTCTTTTAAAACAAGTTAAGCAGAATATATTAATCATTATTAAATGCAATGTATGAACCTTTAAAATAATTTATTATAAGTTAAGATAGAAATTTTAGGAATAGGAAATTATGTGGTGAGATGATATTGAAATAAGACGCATACAACATTTGCCTATAGTAAAAGGTGGTAGTAGAAATTTCTGGTGTTGAAGAGTCACATAACATGTTAGTTTTGTCTGTCACCAACAGCCTGTCTGAAGCAAATAATACCATATATCCACAAAAATGAACAGAAAATAGGATGATGGATACCAAATAATATGTATTTCTCCAAAGCTAATCATGCCAATTTTTTTTCTGTTGTAGGATAGCAATCTTAGTGGATGAAGGAACTGAATAGAACATAGTAGAATAGGAAATCGGAGACAGTTGAGAAGATATAATTAAAATAGAACATGATCTTACAAAATTAAAAAAACTGAACCAAAATCAATAAATATTATGATACAAAAATATAGAACTGAAGGATAACGGCAGGCAGTAGTTAGTTCAGAATAGGAGTTACACATTTTAAATTGATGAACTGTATAATTTACTCTTGTCAGAAAAATAAAAATAAAACAATGCATAGTTTCTTGGTGTTTTCTAGATGTTGTATTAATGCGTATTTAGTAAATGAAATAACTAAGGCTTTGTCATAGCCTCACTCCAGCTACTATGCAGTTGCTCATATGTTACAGTTAAAAAAAAAAAACAAAAAACCCTTTGATTATAAGCCTTCCTGAGTTTTGACATCCCTCAAGCTTAAAAATAACATTCTGTAATATGTCCATGGTCACACAGTAAATCCGTATTGGAAACCAGAGCTAGAAAATACATCATGTTTCCTAACCCCACGGCTAATCCACTAAATCAGGGGTTGGCAACCTTTAAGAGTAACGGTCTCTTGCTTTCAACCTGGCCATCTCTATGGGTTCCTAATCCCTTCTGCAGTGCCTGAGTCCTCCCTGCTCTGTGCTGAGGGCTCCTGTCTCTCTTTCATGATCCTCTACTGCAGCTTCTGCTTTCTGATTAAAGAATGAGAGACAAAATACAGAGAACCTGGATTCTTCATAGGGTCAGATTCCTTGCCTGACCCTACCCACTTGTAGAGATCAAGATTTGAAAACCATCAGGTGAACCACTGAGGGCTTATAGCCACAATAAACAGCTGCACATAATGCAGATGTGCTCCAGTTGTTTTCTGTAGCTTTTATTTCAAATGGCACTCCTTGTGTTAGGTGTGTGGGACTACTGATGAACTCCAGCTGAGTGGAGAAGCTACACCTATCAAAGTAAAAGCTGCAGCAATCCACTGCAGCTTGTCCTTACTTCGGCAGTCCACTGTAAATAAGCAGGTTGTAAATCATCCTCACACAAAAAATCTGTTTCTGCTACATTTCACTGAGAATAGTTAACATTGAAAAAATTTTCTCTATAAACAGAAGTGTTCAAAATAAGACTAGAGAATCTAGAAATTTCTACTGAGGCTAAAACTAACAGCAACTTTTACTGTGCCATATATCTCACCAACTGTAATCCTACAGCTAGAGCCTGTGGAGCCAAACATACGGCCCTGAGACTGGATCTTGCCCGTGGAGCCATTCTCTATGGCCCTCAGGGCTACTGATGGTCTAGGAAATTTGAGGGTGGAGCACACTGCTGAATCCAGAGCTGCAGCTGTTGGGGACGGGGTGGGAAGGCATGACTGCAAGTTGTGTTACCAGTTGGCCTGCCACTGCTTGACCCACTGCCTCTGCCACTGGCCCTGGCATCGCTCCTTCCCCAGACACAGAACATGAGGAGCTCTGTGGTGTAGATCTGGCAAAGGGAATAGGGTGAGCTTGACACTGTTGTCCTAGAGGGAGTCATCTCCCTTGCTTTTCAAATACAATTTAGAAAAAATACTGTGGCAGTGCACTTGTAGTGCCTGCCACTTTAAGGGCTGAGTGAAGCAGCCAGCAGGTGCTTGATTGTGGCAGTCATTTTAAAACACTGGCTGCGTATATAAACAGCAGTTTGCTGCTGGCAGCTAGGCAGAAACATCGCCTGGCTGAAAGGCTGTACAAAACATCTAGGAGGTAAGGGCAAGAGCTTATGGGGATGGCTAGAAGGCTCTTGGTTCTGGGAATGATCTAAAACTCCACCCTGCCAGGGATGGGTGGCCTGGTGGGGCTCCTGGTGGTGCAGGAGTCCCCAGGAAATGCCAGGCCAGTTACCACCCTGGTGAAAGGTGGGTCAGGGTGCCTTAACCCCAAGCCCCAACAACACTGGGTACAAGGGGGCCAGACACAGCTATGGCCACCTGAGCCTCCACAGGGGAGAGAAGCCTAGAGTCCCAAAGGAGGGGATAGATGTGTAATCCCAGAGAGGGGGTGGTAGTGAGGGCCTGGAAGAGGGTTGAGTAGGGCTGAGGGTCAGCCTAAAGAGCAACCCAAGGGGGTGTGCTGAGTAGGGCTGTGGGACCTCCTGAAGGGCAGCACATGGGCCAACCCCCAGGAGAAGGACTCAGTTGTGAAGATGATGAGAGGACCCCAGGGAGGGGCATGGTGCAGAGGCCCTAGAGAGGGCATAGTAGGAACCCCAGGGGTGGGCCAGAGAGAGGCCATGGGAGCAGTGTGGGCCAGAGAGAGGCCGAAGGAGTAGTTTGGGCCAGAGGCCAAGAAGTGGGTGGGGAGGCTCAGCCAGAGCGTGAGGGGCGAGTCCTGACACCAGGAAGTCTTCCACCACTAGGAGGCTGAGTGTGGGTCAAAAGTAAGACCTGTAAAGAGCACAATGACCTGCTGCTCCAGGGGGGGGTGTTAGAGTCCCTGTGAGACCCTGGAGCACCAGTCATGGTGTGGGGTGTGAGTATCTTGTGGATGCCATCTGCAAGGAATGGGCTGCAGTGTAGGATGGTTTGGAGCTGCAAATAGCGCCCACTGGCATCAGGGCATGTAATGGGCAGTCTCCTGCATTTTCCACCAGGTTATGGGAACAGCAAAGTTGTGGTAAGCAAGACTGGGCGGACTGCCCCATAGAGACAGGTGGGTGGGCCAGCGTGAGACCCGGCCCCAAGCACATCCCCTATCACAAATACTCATTTCCACTATCCACAAATCTGCTATGAGGAAGACAGGCTGCTTCTTTATTGTATATACACTTGAAACTTATCTTAATCTTCCTATTTATCTTTTCTTACTTCCACATAAAGTCTAGAAGTCCATCTTCATCTCTTCCACACTGTCTACTGGTCACTGATCTGAATATGGCATACAGCTGCCAGTTTCTTCCTTGATCTTCCTTTTCCAGCAAGTCATAGTTACCAACAACTGGCCAGATGCACCCAGTATGCATGTTGTTCTGCTTGGTCTGCATCACATCTGATTTATTTGCAAAACACTTCTGGCCTTTAAAATCAGCTGAGAACCATCTGCTAACAAAATCAAGATCTTTATCTTGTGTTACATTCAGATGCAAAGCACACTTGAATTTAGCTTCATTCTGCCTATCACCTTCCTCATATAAAGAATCAGAAAGTTTAAAAGGACCTTAAAGGTGTTACAATCCAACTGCCTGCACAGGTGCAGGATGCATTATTTTTACATTACCCCAAATACCTACCCAGCCTCTTCTTCAAACCCTCCATTGAAGAATATAAGTCCATTGGATAGCTTGTTCCATTATGTTTCTGTTCTGACATTTTTTTCCTGAGATTTATTCTAAATCCTCTGCTTCAATTTGAATCCAGTGCTTGGTGTCCTGCTCTCCGGGCAAATAAGAGCAGTTATTCTCCATCTTTTTTATAGTAACCTTTAAAATATTTGAAGCCTGCTGTCATGTTCCCCTTTGGGCCATGTACTGGAATGTCATGTTCCAATATTCAGTTTCTACTGGAAGAGTTGCTCTCCTAGTAGAAGCTACGAGTATACAAATGTTCAGGATTTTTCTCCCAGGGCAAAAATGGTCACTCTGGGAGAAAAATAAACCAGAAACAACCAATTTAAAATTGTTTCTGGGAGAGTGACAGTCTGTACAGTTTCCTTCCTGAGAGAAGCTGCAGCATAGTCTTGCAGCATACCAGGATGCTGTGCTTTCAGCCTCTCCCCCCTATCCCCTTCCAAGGGAGACAGTATGTCACTTGGTCTGGACTTTACTGCTCCAGATGAGGAGGGAGCAGAACACAACCCCTTCTCAACCTGCACATTGTGCTGTACGTAGGTAGAGACAGGCTGAACAAGAGCAGTCTAGGTCAGCCAATCAGGGCTGCCCTGTGCAATACTGTCATCTTTTTCCAGGCAAACTAAGGGAGCCTGCAGAGCACACTGATCCCCCTGGCTCCACAGAATGAGCACTGCAAGATTTCTGTGCTCCTCATCAATCTATATAGGCATCTCCATGTATGTTTTTTCTCCAAGGAAAATAAACCCAGGACAATTCTCCCAGATAATCTGAATGTGTGTACTTAACC